CGTCCCCCCCTCCCGGGGGCCTGTGCGGGGCCTGCCGAACGGCCAGGCCTGGGCGCAGCCTCCGGGCGCTCAGCCTCCTCGGGGTGAGGTTGGCCATACTGCAGCATTTGCTGCTTTGCTCTGTCTTCTCTCCTCACTGAAGCCCTTGCGGTGGGGCTGACGCTCTGCTGTACCGGCCTCGGCTGCTCTTTGCAAAGGAAGTGTTTTGCCTGGGAAAGGAGACGTGAAAAGAGGATCTGAAGACAGCAAAGAAACAGAACTGAACTTACTGCCGGGCCCAGGCCGTGATTTCTGAAGGTCTGCTGTCGTCAGCTCTGCCAAAGGATTGACCCATTTCCTGGCCTCATCTTCTCTCCCCCTTCTCTCCTGGCCTCTCTCACCCCACCCGGACTGTGCATGCTCCAAACCCATGGCGATCTGTTGGAGAGGGACTAGAAATAACAAGTGTATCAGACCCACAAGGGCTCTTGCTTTCAGTGCCATTGCAAAATAAGGCGCCTCGCGGACGCTGACAGCAGCCGCGTGCCTTTCAGTTGCCCCACAGCGTCGCGAGCTGTTATCCTCCCCGTCCCCGGGAAGCGGAGGGTGATTCAGCTCGCCGCGGCCGGCCCCGCTTCTGCACAGCATCGGCCTCGGGTTCACCTGTTTTGTGCCCATCCCTGCGTTTTCCCCTGAGCAGCACCCTCCAAGGGGTGCGTTTTGGGGGGAGTTCAGCTCTGGTCACACCTGGGCTGGCTTTTAGCTTGTTTCACTGCACACGTGGCTGTTAGCTCTGCTGTTATGGGTTCACGTTTTGGGGATGCTTTCACCGCTGCTGAGCGTTGGGTCAACAGGCCAGTGCCTTCAGGGTCCCGAAATCCCGCCGGATGGGCATCCTCACGGGGCTCGCGCCTGCCACCGACACCGGGCAGAGCCCCGGCCGCCCAGCGTCAGGACGCAAACACGCCGAGGCCACGTCTGTTTTGTGGGAGGGGAATAAACCTCTTCAGAATGAGACAGTTTTATTAATTTGACAAGGAAGTCAGATTGTGTTAGTGCAGCTTTTTTTTTTTTCACAAGGGAATGGATAAATACATCAGCAAAAAAAAAAAAAAAAAAAAAAAAAGGAAAGGCCTTCATTTAAGGTCAAGCAGATCCTACAAGATCATCAGAGTCTGAACAAAATGATAGAGAAAACGGAGCCTTGCTGCGCTCACACCGCTGCAATAACGCCATGTGCTCAGCTCCGCTTCCTGATTTTCGCGCTGGAAATTTTCCTTATTTGAAGAAAAGGGAACCTGGCTTTTAAAAAGGGGAAACAATCCTGTTTTGCAACGTCTGAAAAATAAGAGAGCCTGCGCCAGAGCAGGCGTGGGGGGACGGAAACCCGCAGGGACAGGGGATTTGCCCCGAAGCTGTTCTTGAGAAAAAAAAAAGAAAAAACAACAAAAAAAACAACAAAAAAAAGCCCATCATTGCTGGCACTGGCTCTGGTCAGGAGCATCCTCTCGGCTTGGCGCAGCGGGGACGGGCACAGGGGCACGGCTCACAGAACCACTGAGCCGCCGAGCAGCGCTCCGATTTGGGTCGGGAAGCGCGGAAAGAGGGCCAGTTTGACCGCCGCCTGAAGGCGGTTGGCTCCCTCGGGAACGCCGCGGCGGCGGCGGCCCAGCCA